TCCTTGAGCATCTCTCTAATTTCTCTTCGCTCATCAAAAATTTTAGCTATGCTCCCACTAAAATTGAAGTCAGTAGATGTACCAGCAAGAATACGCAATAACGACCTTAAAGAGTAGCTTGCCCCAGGGATCTTTGAATTGTCAGCATCCATGCTATCTTCCAATCCAATTCTATCAAGATTAGAGTTTTCATTGGCTGCATCAGGTGTGGGAGGAACAGTTTTCTCCCTTGAAGGTGCAGTTGCTGGATCAGTATTACTAGCACTATCCTTCATATCCACTAGTGGTACACTGTCATCTGAAACCTCACACCCAGAAGGTAAAGTAGACATCTCTGGATTTTCTTTTGTTGACAAAGAAGCCAATATTGTTGCCGCCCCAGCAACAGCCAATGGGTCGTCTGATCTTGCTTCAATAATCCCTTTTATAGGAGCAGTCTGAGCTTCTAAAACACTTAAAGAAGAAGGTATGGCTGGGGCAGCTAAGTTATCATTGGTGAGCTGCTGAAAAATCTATGTTCCCATTAAAGAATTAAAAGGTTGCTAAGATGGATCAAAAATCAAAACCAATGTTGAATAATGAAACATGCTGGAAGACAGTACCACAAAGATACTCAATTGGGAGCGAAAAGTATCCAAATTTGTAAAAACAATTAAAAGGATACATAAGCATGATTCCCTGTACTAGTGAAAATCAATTCATCGCCAGCATTTATGATTAAACTAGCATTTTTCCGATAAGTCTTCCCATTAACCTGGACAGAGCCTTTTCCACCTGTAATTTCTAGTAATGCAATTGAACTTCCATCACTCTGCATTGGAAGAAAAAAAGTGAAGAAAATCATCACCCTCATAAACACAAGAAAATTGAACAATTATGAGAAAATTATTTCCAAAGATTCATACCTCTATGTGTTTCACTTTGCACAAAACAGTGCTAATATTGGGATCTTTAAGACATAAATTACACTGACGGCTTTGGCCAACAGTGAACACAGTGCCACACATGACCACATGAGGGTTCTGGGGATGAAATGAACGTTAATAGGAATCAGAAGCATATGATTTTAGCATGAAATTACCATAAAGAATTGGAATCCATATAAAGAGGCAAAACAGCTAGCTACTTAGCGGTACACCAAGTATAAGATTGGCACCTAGGCATTCAAGCAGAATGAGTAAAAATCACATCTCCATGACTACATAGCCAATGGATCAAACAATACAGTGACAATAAACACCTTTGGCAGAAACCCAAAAGGGGAAAAAAGACGATTGTTTACCAGGAAAAAGAAAATTTTACTTCTTTTTTGGTTAGAAAAGAGTGTAAACAAATTGCACGTTCATGCATTCCAATTTTTTAGAAGAAAATGACAAATCAAAATGGAACTCACTACAAAAGCAGGCAAACTTACTGAGACATGCTAAAAGTGGTTTTCCTGCCAATTTCCCAAGTGCAACATAACATCTTGCACAGAGGGATTCTTCCAAGTTCCTACAACTGAATATGTACAAATAAGAAATTTTCCTCTAAAAAAATTAATCTAACAAGAGGACCAGCTCTCTCATATTCCTATTTTTTCTCTTAAGGAAAACTTTCATTGAACTAGCAAACTAAATCAATAGAGTTCCCAATGAATCTAATGAACCTAAAGGGAAATGAACTGCAAGGTTGGAGCACTTTCCTCGGAATCCAAGCATAATTGCCAAATTAATAGCTTGTTTGATAAAGTTTCAGGACATCAAGTAAACATCCAATTCACCTAAATGATTTGAGATCTTCCGCCTAATGAATAAATCCAATGCATTTGAGTTTAAGTCTCTTAAAATAGGATTTCACCTTGACCAGTACTATTATGAACACCAAGATTCCACTCCATGATTGGAACCGAAATACTCATAAATTATGTAGTAAGATTACATTGACATAGTGGCTGAAAGACCAAGAACTACAGTATGTATTCCTAATCTTACCCTATTTAACTCAGATAATGAACCAGAAGGTCTGCTCATACCAATAATAATGCAATTTAGGATAGCATACCTGAGAATACTGAGAAAGAAGCTTTCCCCACGGAACTTTAGAACCTGATTTAGCAGGTTTTATTAGCTTCTTCTTAACCCGAGCGGTAAACCCTACAGCAACCACCTTCGCGTTTTGCGCATCCATAGCGGGTACACCTATGCAACCAAACGTAAAGAATCAAATCCCCATTAAAAATCTCAAACATAAACCCAATTGAGAAATCGATCGAGGATCGCACCTAAAGACTGCGGAGACACCAAAGCACCGTTCTCCACATCGACACCAACAGGCTTATCAGGGACAGACACATCAACGGCCTTATCCGCATCAGATACCGGCAGATTAGAAGGTCGAAGCTCCGTTACCCGTGAGTCCGAACGGGGCGGACCTAGAGCTTCGTTCAGCGGCCCAGACACCGCCGGCTCAGATGCCTAAAGAGAAAAATAAAATCAGTCCCAGATTCAAATCTAAAGAGGAAAAAGAAAAGAATTTCAACACGCATGCAAGTTCAAAACCCTACAGAATTAAAAGAAGGGGTTATCAAAAAGGGGAAAACAAAGATAAGACCTTGGATCTTTTACTAGAGGTAGGAAGCGATGTAGCGGGAGAGGAAAGGGGTCGTTTGGAAGAGGAAGAGCTCCGTCGCGTTTCAACCATCGCGTGGCTGAAAGAAGGAAAAGAAGGGAGCTTTGAGGGTTAATTCACTCTGGCTTTTCTCTGATCCGAAAAAAGGAACGACTTTGAGTCTATGGAGGTATAAAAAGGGAAGAGAGAAAGAAACAGAAAGGAAAAGAAAAGGGGTGAATGGTTGCGGAGAGATCAGTTACCAGCGTCCCCGTGCTGTGCACCTTTAATTATTTTATTTTTTCAGAAAACGGTGAAATTCTGGTAGTGGTTGTGACGATACCAAGTTTCGATTATTTTTTTATCTGTTTTGTTAAAAAAAATAATAACAAAATTGGTATATTAAGATTACGTAGAATTTCCCGAATAGACCCTAATATTAAATATTAGAAAAAAATTGATTTCATAATATTAAAAACATTTGAGCTCTATTACTGATACAAAATTATTCTTTTATAAGTATAAAATATAATAAAAAAATTGGACCTTTGTAGTTGTGGGATGGGTATGAGACCCGAACCCGACGGGTTCCGACCTCATCAGGTTAGGTTTTTTTTTAATTTGGGTTTGAATCGGGTCGGGTATTTTAAAGGTGATGTTCAGGTCGGGTCGAATTTGAGTTTAAGGTGAAAAATACTCGATCCGGGAAAAAACTTACATTATATATTTAGAAATAATTACAATAATACCCTTTTATATATTATTTTTTTCAATTAAATCACTGTTTTTATTGAATAAAAATATTTTATTATTATTTCGGGTCGAGTCTGATCGTATTTGAATTTTATTTCAAATAATCGGGTCGGGGTCGGATCGGGTGGATAGTATACATTTTTTGTCAACTTACGTAATGGGTAATCACATGGACCATAGATCCTGAAGAAAACAAATTATCAGACGATGTTGTTAATGCATGGATTCACTGCGTTTTAATCATTGCCATGTTTAATATGTAAGCCACAGCCGAAATTATTTTATTTTAGGTTTGCAGAACTAAGACGACAGAGGTTAATTTTTTTCTTAGTTGGTAAAATAGTAGTTAATGAATCTTTTGGTAAAAGATTTAGATTCATGTAAAATTAAGATTTGAACAAGGAAATTGTAAGCGTTCGTGAATTGAGTAAATTAGGTTTGGGGATCGTTCTCGCATCTGTAATATTCGATTTGAATTAGTCGATCTATAGATGAGATATAGATTGGTTATGAAAAAAAAAGGCTGGACGGATTGTCGGATTCAAATCGTTGTAGAGATGTACAATGAAAGATTAGCACTTTTTCATAATTCCTAATTGGTTCCAAACTTTTTGATATTTCCAAGTCGGTTCATAGTTTCTATCGGATGCAATCAAGCAGTTATTTCTTGTGGTTGTTTTACATGACTTTCTTTGAATAATTTTTGCATGTGGCAAATCTTCTTCAACAAATGGTGAGTTTATAATTGGACTTTGTTGGATTCTTCCCCGTTATTGACAAAGATTTTTTTTTTGCAGCAATCCAGGTTTCAAACAATGTCGGATTCCATTATCACAAAGAAAATCATTTCCACGCGTTCTTAAATTTCATTGAAGGGCTTTCACTGTGAATTTTCATTGAGCTGCTTCACTGATGAAATGTTAGTAAAAGATAGCTTCACACAAAATGCATCATTTTCCTTTTCATTCTTGAGCCTAAAGCAATACGTGCTTTTAGTTTCTTCTGTCTACTGTTGTGCTAGCCAGATTTGAACATGTTCGAAAGGGTGTTCGGTTTTTGCTCTATTATAGCAATACTTTAAATAGAAATAGATCGTTTCTTAGTATGGAAATAGTTTTTTTTACCTCTTATTGCAAGATGTGGGACATCTACCGTTTACTTAACTCTGAAGCATTTGATGAAATGGGAAACCGTATAAACGCGCTGGAGCAGAGCCACGAGGACCTAAACGCTGAGATGGGAGTGGAGGGCTTTAGTTCTACATCCCCATTACACCGACCAAAACATATTTCGGATGAAGCGAAGCACGAGGAAGGCTCAGCATAAAACTTGGCTATGTTTATGATTGTAATTTGGTAATGTATTGTTCTGTTTGAGATTACTATTGGTGAGAGATCAGGGATATTACTGAGTGTGTCCTTTTCCCCCCTTTTATATTTGTCGATTTATAGAGGGTGTTGATGAAATGAGGCGGCTTGTTGTTAACATTCTTCTCTACAATCCCAGATTTTAATATACTTGAAATGCTTTTCGTCTGGCAATCTGTCATGGAAAGTACTTCAGAACCAGGAATAATCATATGTTGTCGTGATGAATAGTGAGTTCTCGCATTTCGGATAGCATAATATTCGAAGATGGTTATGATATGAATTTTAATCTTGTTAGAAGAGTACATGTTCCTCCTTTTTATTTAAATTTGAAGGTAAAATTCCAAACTGCAAACTAAAGGACAAATGATGTCATGGGAGCTTCTTCACCGACATAAATAGAGAAACCAATGAAACAGAAAGAAAAAACCTTAACCCCGGCAACGAGTAATGGCACTGCAGCCTCGACTGTAAGGATTAGCTTGCGCTCCTGGTTGACAGTTATAGTAGGATGCACCCCGTTGCGAGCATGGCACCGTGTTCCTCTGCAGAGCTCCATAGCTTATGTACAGCGTGGTCTGCAATACGCGCCTGAAAATCCCGGAGTCCATCTCAAACTCATCCTCAGCCATGCACTCAGCCATCGACCCTTTGCAGCCAGACTCGGGCGGAATCCAGCTCAAATGGTGCTCACCACTTGCGACAACGGTCGACAAGGCAACGATAAGAGTAATTAATACCAATCGAACGGCAAGGAGAAAACCAGAAGGATTATCCATGATGGTAGTTGATGTTTTTATTTTGTTTTGGCTATGGTTTATTGTTCTATGATGCAGTTTTTGAAGTCGGGACAAGAAGAGGAGAGGGTGAGGCAACTTGTTTTAAAGCTACTTATAGAAGAGTTAGAAGATTGAAATTGGCTAATCACTAATGCATTGGCCCAGCGATTAGGTTTCTTTTTTATATTTACAGACAAAGAGCAAACCACTAAACTAAATAAATAAATAAACAAAAGAAAAAGACCAGAAGGCAACATCCGAAGAAAGCTTAAAAATATGGTTACTTCATAATTAGTAATACGAATCTGATAAGATAACAAGCTGAAATCGAAGATTATATGTTTGTTCATTTCCTTGTTATGGTTTAGACAGATTTCATGGAGCCATTGTAGTTTTTCACATGTCGAGATAATGATAGTTTAACATCTAAACACACCCAACATTACAAGGAGAAAAAAATTAACATTCAAACTTTAAAGATGATATTATGGGAATAAACAGCTATAACGTCGAACATGAACCGTAAGACAAACCGAGGCAAATGGTTGACCACCCAGAGATACATGTAATCTAATTGGTTGAAACTTAACAATCCAGTCCGTCCACCAATCTGCAAATAGTTTGGCTGTCCTAATCCATTGACTAATAAAAGAACAAGTAGAATAATAATAAAACCACAACCTAACTCAACAATCGAAGAAAAAGAAATATTTTTTCAGTGATATCTTCAAAGGCTCTTGTACAATTTCGAACTCGACTCGATAGGTATTTGGAAACTTCATCGAAATCTTTGCGTTTAGCTGTAAATGGATGACCTCTTCTAAACCTAATACAAGAAAAGGACAACATAAATGGTAATGTGAAAACTCGGAAACAAGATTTTTAAAGGAAAATAAAACACAACCAGTTGAACATCCTGGCCTTTTCTTGTCAATTTTGATGAGTTTATTATAAGTTCCAGGTAAGCAGTGAGAGTTATAAACAGCTTGGGGCCAGCCATTTTGAAACACCAATTTCTTCTGCAACCTTGTTTTTATTTATTCATTTGCAAAAGCTAACTGATGTTTTTTATTCATGGTGTTGGGTCTGCAATTTTCAAAGGCTGTAACAGTGTTTCACACTTTCGATCATCGGTGGATGAAATATCTAAATTATATGAGAATTTAAAATTTTCAAGGGGTTGACCTCCTCCACCAATCCCCCTCGGTCCATCCAGGACTAAAGGATACTTGGAAACAACTACAAAGAATAAGATGTGTGCTTCTTTATCCCAATCTCTAATTTACAAAGCAATAAACACACATTGCTTAAAGTATGGATGTAGAATATCCTGTTGTGTAAAAGAACCATGGAAAGACAACAGGTTGTCTAATGCAGGAATAGTCTTATTAACAAGAAAGACTTGCATCCACCGTAGAACTCTGTCCTGTCCGGTATCGGTTTGAAGCAGACTAAAACAGGGTTGGTAACATGAGATTCCATCTTTTAAGTTTGCTTAGCAATGCTTCCATTGGTGGCAGCTCCTGCACTATTTGTGAACAATCGGCATTCCCTGTAAACAAGAAAAGAGGTTTACAAGATTGATTCATTTAACATAGAAAGCACCAGCTTATGGTAGCAATCCAACACTTTTCTTACTTTCCCTGATCTTCAAACTCGGCTATCTAGGTGCAGAATTATGTACACATCCTCACCAGGAGTAACTCCTTCAGCCTCTTGTTGATCCCTGATCCACCTGAGCAAGTAAAAATCTTCAGAGAAAGTATATATAGAAAAGGGCTTACAGAAGAAAAGATGCCAAAGGAAGCTTTGAGCATATCACTGGTAATTGGAAATGTAATCAATGTTTGGGAACAGTCGAACTTTTGTGAGCTGAAGAGATGCATTATAGAAAAACCTTTCTTACATTACAAATGAATACGAATAAACAATAATAAATATAGAGTAGCAGGTGACCTCTCCCATTCTTCTGGCGATACAACCTCAGCTCTAAATCGAATTTGCGCTTTCAACTTTGATTTTGCAGTTATAGACTGAGCTCGTTTCTGAAAGTCGTCCTACCATGGCAGCAAGAGATTAAAAGTTGGAGAAAGGAATTTAATCAAAAACCAAACTTAGTGCATGCATTAATCATTCCAAATATAAAAATTTCATGTAAATTGATTAATAATACAAGACAGCAACCAAATGTGTATGTGGCATACCAGCACAAGTACACCGGAGCATAAAGACAATCACATGCATAGTACATCACATATAAGCCACAAAGTTAACTTCTAAGAAGTCGTAATAACTAATTTACAATAGGTTAAAAACTTGTAGTTTACCCCAATAGAAGGAAGAGCAGCAGCAGCTGCCTTTGTAGAAACACCAAAACCTTTTTTCTCCACTTGCGGTGCTCTACCTTCACCCCAAATAACAGGAACTAGAAGAACACCTCGTCTGAGAAGCTCAGTTCAAAATCTCTCAGCCTTTTGTATAGCCGAAGAAACAGATTCCTTTTTCCCTGCTAATATAACCTGAATTCAACCTTCAATTAGAATGTAATGAGAAAAACCAAATAGATAGGAGAAAGCATGAAACCACATCAATATGCAAGATAGCAATATACAAGTTAAAGTTGCACTTTAAATACATTTTGATGATCGAATGACACATGACAGTGCACTAAGATGTATAAATACTCGGGTAATCAGAACTAATGTAGCCTTCTATGGTAAATGTAAAAGACTTTTGATCTAAAGGTATAGGTCTCAGTTTTTCTTTTTGAAGGTTCATAGGTCTCAGTTTTGCCTTCCGATTTCTCTTCTTTGTCTCAATCACCTGTCCAAGCAGTAGCAATCACTAAACAATGTGGTAATGGAAACAGAACTGATAATAGTTATGGTTGTTCTCATCACAGGAGTATCCACAACACAACTAACCAACGTTAGAGAAACACATATAACTATAACAGGTAGGTGTGCCATTTCATTTATAAACTATAAGCTTAAATTTTAATACTTTGATTACTTTGGAAATGTGCCAAGTATGTTTAGGAGATCCAGTACAAGGGATATATTTTTATCTTTAGATGAAATGAGATAAAGGTTTTCAATTCTTAATTTGCTTATTTCCATGGACAAAAAAATTGTTTATGGTCAGCAACATTATTTTTTAATATGAAAGTTTTCGAGTGACAATGCAAGCATATCATTTGTAACGATCTATCTAAAATTTGCAAGCATGAAGCAGTAATATCTTGGAATAAATATTCAAATGAAAAGGGAAAAGTATAGCACTAACCGGCCTAACAGTGTCTCGTAGTTGCACAAGTTCAACAATCCGATTAGTTGAAAGGCATAAAGGCAACCTAGAGAGAGTTTCATTTCGGGATATTTGTTCAAGTTGCTCCTCCTCCTTGTAGTCCCAGAAAAATAATGCCACAAGAACAATGATACCTGTAGATAGCTGGTTCAAGAACTTAGTCGTTTTAAAAAGCCAGTTACAAACTATTAGCATGCTGGTCATACCAACAAAGTCAAACAAGGAAAAGAAAGAAAAAGAAAAAAAGAGATTAACTCCTAAAATGACGTGTGTTTTTGTATGTAGATATGCTAACATACTCATCTCTCAATTTACATCCAATATTTATGCTGGCATTGCCAATAGTTTCCCAAACATCAGGAGCACCATCACCACCTTTAATAGCACGAATTAGCCTGGGTACAGTGAAGAACAGCGAAATTCCAGCAACTGCAGAGAATGCCACATAAAAGAATCTCCTAATGCCTCGAAACGGGGCCTGGACTTCACTGATAAGTTTGAGATCTCTTCGAAAGCTGTAGCCTATATATTCTCCACACAACCTGGCCTGGAAAGATAACAAATAATTATGAGTAATACAATGTTTTATTAATTTGATCCGCATGTGGGCGATTTACTTTCATGTGATTCCATATCTGCACAGTTGGTATATCTTGGTGGGGATTGGAAAAGAGGAGTGTCTGTAAAGAAAACTTAAGCAACAGACCTCTGCTTGCAATTCCTTGAACTCAGGCGACGCTATAAGGGAGGCCAGATCAGGATCGTTGAGAATTGTACCAAACTTGAGGTTGTAGTCTCTCAAAGCAGTACGGAGACAATCAGCGGCTTTCTTTGCTTCCCCTCTTCCTCAATAGAAAAGAAAAGATTGATACAAAGAACAGCCCAATTTAGTATTTATCTGAGGTTAATGCAGAAGAGTATATAACAAAGCCATATATGTGCCTCAAACTAGATTCCCAGAACCTTCAGATTTCATATAACAAGAATCCAGGGACTTTGGCTGAGAGTTAAAGTGTGGTTTTGAATACTATACATAAGCTATACTTTACAGAAGGTGATGGAAGTTAAGGTAGCATCTGGGTTGGTCCGAATTGAATGGTGGTCTTTTAGTTGAATCCACATTGTTTCTTGATCCCATTTTGATAAGGCTCGAATTAGTAGCCATGCTGAACCCTTTTATCAGGCATGACTGGCAAATCCTTAACTTGGGACCATAACAATTATGTTTGTTAATCCTCCTCTCCCCTAAAGTAAATATGCATTTCTAGAATCATGCATGGTAATTTGAAACTGTAATTACTAAAAGCATCAGAAATCTTTACATGTAGGCGTGACAACAGGCTTTGTTATATAGAGCAGCTTGGGCTTCCACAACTGGACTAAAGCGTCTTTAACCTGAAATATTCATTTGACACAAGAGGTACTTTTACAAAGATTTGGTTTTAATTTACAAATAAAAAGTTAAGGTTTGTAAAGATAAGTATTTAGAGCAGTGCAGAACAATGAGCCAAGAATATGGAACTTCTGAAAAATCTGATCATATTTATGATTCATAAAAGCACTTCAAAGGGTCATTGTACGGAGATCAGTTAATCCAGAATCCAATTTCAATTATCCTAGATAAAATTTACTGTTCCTTAAGCTAGAACGAATTTGCGTAAGTGTCATAATACCAGCATAATTTTGATCTTCAAATTCTGCGCTATAATGTGAGTCAAGCTACTGTAGCAATGGCAAAATGATGAAAGATTCTGAAAACTAATACTTTGACAATAAAAAGATAAGCCTTTAACAAAACAAATAGCCAAAAAAATGCAGAACTTAGACAGGATATCATGCCATAAGAGGCA